ATAGTTGTTCCATTATCAGACTGCCTAAAATTTCGAACAAAAACCAATTTTCTTCCAATGTACACATAAAACCCATTTGTTTTTTAATGTGGAAAAAAAATTCTCTTTTAGATAGTTTCCTTTAAAATATCTGATATGTTATGACTTACCAAATCTGCGTAGAACAGTAGAAATCCGAGGGGATTTTCAAAGCAGCCACCTAGTGTCCCAGGTGTAAATCCAGAGAGAGAAAGAGAGAGAGAGAGAGAGAGAGAGAGAGAGAGAGAGAAGAAAGAGAGAACACACAAGAAAGCATAGCCGGTTAAAGCTTAAATCCAGCCACGTGTTGCCTCTTGTGTTGAGTCAAGGCTTGGGTCTGGCTTCCTTAAGCTCCGATCACGTGCGTTGGCTTTACAGGAAGGGCCCTGTTCGGCAGGGCAGGTCTGAGTTGTTTGTAGCACCGGCTTTAAGCCAGCTGCTCACAGACCTAGGCCCAGGCTAGAAGCTGCCACCCGGACTAGGAAGCCAGCAGCTCAGACTAGGAAGCTGGCAGCTCGGACTAGGAAGGCGGCAGCTCAGACTAGGATGCCGGCAGCTCGGACTAGGACGCCGGTCCCTTCCTGCCGCTTCCTCCGCCGCCTGCAGCCCTTGCGGGAAAGAGGACCTGCCGTCAAGCCAAGCGGTTTTTAATGGATTCTTGTCATGTTGGGCGCCAGATATTGATGTAACTAACTGTCTTATTAGATAAGAAACACAGAAACAATATAAAGGAGAAAGTCGAGAGGTCAGAGCTCAGAGCTAAAAATCTCACCCTTCCGCCTTCGGTGTCCCAGCTTCCCGAAAGAGGGCTACTTCCTGTCTGTTCGTTTTTTTTTTTTTTTATAGTATGTTGTTCTGCCTTCTCATTGGTTGTAAAACCAAACACATGACTGCCTCGTCACTGTCTGAATGTACAGCCCCCTAGGTCTTAAAGGCATATGTCTCCATTGCTGGCTGTATCCCTGAACACACAGAGATCTGTGGGATTAAAGGCGTGTGCCACTACCGCCACACTCTGTCTATGGCTCTAATAGCTCTGACCCCCGGGCAACTTTATTTATTAACATACAATCAAAATCACATTTCAGTACAATTAGATTACCACCACAGTATAAGCTTTGGTAATGCCAATATATCTAAAACATTTGTTTCTTTTTATAAACCTTTTATTTTTTATTACTAAGCAATTTCCTTACATACCAACCACAGATGCACCTCTCCTCCCTTCTGCCTTCCCAGTCTTCCCTCCAACCCACCCATCATTCCCACCTCCTCCAAGGCAAGGACTCCCACGGGGAGTCAGCAGAGCCTGGTATATTTAGTTTAGGCAGGTCCAAGCCCCTCCCCCTGAACTAAGGCTGTGTAAAGTGTCCCACCATTGGCACTGGGCTCCAAAAACCTGCCTCATGCACCAGGGATGGATGTTGATTCCATTACCAGGGGCCCGTGAATCAGGTCAAGCTAAACAACTGACTTGCCTGTGCAGAGGGCCTAGTCCAGTTCTATGGCGGCTCCACAGCTATTTGTTCACACTTCATGAGTTCCCACTAGTTTGGTTTGGTTGTCTCTGTACGTTTCCCCATCATGATCTTGATGCCTCTTTTTCATAGATTTCCTCTTCTCTCTCTTATACTGGACTCCTGGAGCTTGGCCTGGTGCTTGGCTGTGGATCTCTGCATCTGCCTCCATCAGTTACTGGATGGAGGCTTTATGAGGACAGTTAAGGTATTCGCCAATCTGATTACTGGAGTAGAGCAGGTCAGGTACCTTTCCACTATTGCTAGTAGTCTAAGGTAGGGTATTCCTTGTGAATTCCTGGGAAATTCTCTAGCATACTGTTTCTCCATGTTCCATTGATGTTTCCCTCTATCATGGTATGTCTTTCCTTGCTCTCCCACTCTGTCCATGCTCATGCTCGACCATCCTGTTCCTTTTATGTTCTCATCCCCCATGCCCTACTCTCTATTGCCTCCATTCACCCCCCCTCCCCAGTTTGCTCATGGAGATCTCATCTATTTCCCCTTCTCAGGGCAATCCATGTGTCTTTCTTTGCTGCCATGAGGGCCATGCCAATATAAGTGGCCTGCACAGGCATCTAGGGCTATGGCAACAAGCTGACCCAGGCTACTGCCAAGGACCATGTTTGTGTCTGTGGTCCTGCCTTTGCCAGAGTCTGTGTTTATTTTGCTGGCCCATGCTGCCGGCAGGACCCATGTGGATGACTGGGGGTCTGGTCTATAATATGTGTCAAGCACTGTTCCAATGTTAGAGCCAACCCAGTTTGGGTGGCTATGGCTGTCAACTGGGATCATGGTATTGTCCAGACCAAAGCTGTGGCCCAGGGCCATGTCTGGGTCAGTGGTCCTTCTGCAACCATGGTCTGTGATGATGTCTGTGGCACCTGAGACCATCAAAAACTGTGCTGATGCTAGAGGTCTGGGATGCTCCCTGGGACCATATTGGTGTATGAGGACTACACTGCTGCAGGGCCCACGATGGTGTGGGTGGCATGCACTGTAATCTAGGCCTGGGATGCTGCCTAGGATAATGTCTGGGTCCATGGTCCTACCACTGCCAGATTCTGTATTAATATCTGTGGTCCATGTTGCCAACAAAGGTGACATAGATGCGTGGGGTCTAGTCTACAACCTGAGGCCATGATGGTGTCTGAGGGCCATGAAGCCTCCTGAAGCCATGGAGATATCTGGGCACAGAGGGCTGCATAGGACCATGTCTGGGTCCATGGCCCTATGGAGGCCAGTGTCTGTGGTAATGTCCACAGCTCTAGTTGCCACAGAAGGCTCTGCAGATGCCTAGGGTCTGGACCATGTTGGTGCCCAGAGGCCATGCTGCTGTTATAGCTGTAGTGATCTAAGTGGCCCATACTGCCACCAACACTGTGGTGACATCCAGGCCTGAGGTGCTATCAAGGGCCATGTCTGTGTCCACTTTCCTGCTGTAGATGGGGTGTGTGCTAATGTCCATGGCCTATGTTAGCAATGGGTTCATTGGAACCATACTGTGCTGAGTGGTCCCTGACCTTCACTGGCCCTGGGATGGCTGGTCCTGATCCTCAGTGGATACTGCAGCACTTGAGCTGGCCTTACCCATCAGGGAAAAGCTCACCTTGTACTTGGGAAAGATGGCTCCACCCTCATTATAGGTGTGCACCTCACCTGGGAAGCACACTAGAACTGACCCTGTAGCCAGGGACACAGGTGAGCCAGCCTTGAGTACATGAGAACAACAGAGCTGATCCTGCCTCACCCTTGTCTGTCATGTGGTGGCATGGGAGACAAAAAGATGTACTTCCTCCTCTGCCACTTGCTATCTGTGGCAGATGAGAGAGCTTCCCCGGGGTCATGAGCATGAGAGAACTAATTCTGACCCACACCAGCTACAGCACACAAGAGAGCAGACCCTGCACCCCACTTGGGCAGCACAATAGAGCTGACCCTGTTGTCAGGGCCCAGGTGAACAAGGGTGAGGGTATGAGAGCAGAGGAGCTGACCTTCCTCCACCATATCCCCTCTATAGCAATCAGAAGAGAGAGCCTTACACCTTGTCTGGATGAAGTAGTAGAGCTGTACCTGGCAATGTGAATTAGGGGAACCTGGATCTGGCCTGAGAGCAGGAAGACTGGCCTGCTCCTTGCTGTAGACTGCATTTGGTGAGCTAGCTCAGCCAATGCTGGAGAGCTCATACAGCTAGTGATGATGAGGGACAGCTAGGGAGTTGTCCAACCCAGCTACAACACAGGCCCAGAACCAGGGCTATATGTTTCCATGCCCCAACATCCACTGAATCTATGAACTGTTGGATAATGTGAAGGGGATGAACCTACATATCCAAAACAGCAGTATCTCCATGACAGAGGACAACAGAACATTACGGGAGCCCAAAACTGACTCAGTTTCTCAGTTTGAATCTGAAGTCTATTCTGAGTCAATAGAGTTCAGGTTTGCTTGCTCCAGGGCTGTGAGAAAGTCCTGATTAGCCCATAGGAAGGAACATACTTCTAGCTAGACACAGGCTACTGATGCCAGCCAAAGGTACATTGAGATAGAAAATGAAACTATTTACTCCTTAAATCAAGGATGGGATAGATAGTGGTTGAATGCCTGTGCTGTTGTTCTACCTCTGTCCTTCAAAACTGTATATAAGCTGGCTGTGAAATAAACTTGGGACAGTCTGGCATTGACTGGCAGCCCTCTCGACTTTTTTCTGTCCTCTTGTTTGTCTCTGCAATCTGCAAGCCCTCACACAGATGCCCAGCTGATTGTTGGCAGGCTCCAACAGAACATCCAAGAAGAGCCCCAGTGGGAGCCCATTATTGGTGGTGTAGGAGAAATCAGATGCCTCAAGCCAGACCAATGACTTGTGGCAATGAACATTTGCATATAAAGCTTAATGGACTAAAGGATAAACTGTGTCTCAACAGGGTACACTACAGCTTTCAGGACAAGATTATTCATTCTCCTTCTTTTCCTCTTCCTCCTTTTTCTTTTTGCTTTGGTGTTTTGTTTTGTTTGATTTTGGTTTTTCTTTTAAAATTGGTCTTGACTGGGGGAGGTTGCAAGAGCAAAGGGCAGATGTGAGGAGATGGGAAGATAAATGGGATAGGAATGCATGATGTAAAATCTACAAAGAATAAAAGTAAATATAACAAAATTAAAATAAACAAACAAATAAATAAATGTAAAAAAAAGGCCACCAAGGTATATGGTATATTGATAGACACCAATAGTCCCAGCACTTGGGAAGTGGGGTATCAGAGACATATCAGAGGTTCAAGGCAATCCTCAGACACATAGTGAATTTGGGACTAGCCTAGATCCCTGAGACTCTGTCTCAAGAACAAAAGACTCAGCAATCACAGGAAGACCTTGGAGATGGTAGCAGTCAGTTAAGCCTGGGTAGCCTGTCATGAAATCAGAAAGTATGAGGCTGAGACTGGAGGATTACCATGAGGGAGGCCAGCCTAAACCTTCATGCATCCAGGTGGGTGGGCAGACAAGGAGGAGGAGATTGGGGAGGAGTTGGGGAAGGGAGGAGTACAGTTAAAACACAAAGTAGAAAATCCTAAGCAACTAGTAAAATTAATAACAAACAAGCCTCTGTACCCAAAATAAAGATTCAGTGGCCAGAAGTAGAGTGACATTTGTACACAGACCTTTTGACCCATATTCTGTGCTTTGTATGGGATGCAGCCATCATAAGGAAGAACATAAGGTTATGCTCTGGGTTAGAACAGACAGTCACTGAGCACACCTTTATTGATCTTCACTTACATTCTGTCTCAAACAGAGATATCTGTCATTGTTACCAGAGTGCATGATCAATTGGACTATAGTTATCTATTGGTGATACTAAAATCTGTCTCTGTGCTTGGTTATATTGATCCTCATTGACAATCAAATTCACAGTTTAAAATGGGATACTAACATCTATGGATGGCTCTGAACACCTTTAGAGTAAAATATCAAAGGCCAGTCTTGGGAACAATGAGAGAACCTCTCTGAAAAACACTAAGGTTTGACTTGGTAGAACAAAACTAAATTACAAAACAAAATTTACAGGTACTCAGATTAAAACAAGAAGTTGGCAAACCACTAAGGCTGCCTGGGATTCTTAGAAAAATACCATCTCAAAATAAATAGAAAAAACCCCCCAGAGATTAGCATATAATACAGTGAAAGAGCCTTTACATGGAATACAGCAACAACAATCTGGGATCCGGCTCAGTGTGGAACACCGTTATAGAATTCCCCTAGTGAGAGGATGCAGTGTGACTCAGTGGTTGAGCATGTAACTGCCTATTACACAGAATTCACTGATTTTGAGCCACATCAACAAAAATATTAACCAGTACATAAGTGAAGGCAGGCCTCTTCACTGTTAATTTAATGACCCATCACTCTCAACAGCTGGCTATGCCTTTTGAGTTTAGATGACACCTTAGAACTCAAGGTAACAGAAAACTTCAGGCAAATAACTTTCAGAACCTACTACTCTTGTCCCTATGTGTGACAGAATCCATACTCTGTCCTATTATGATTTATACTTACTTTTCAATGAGAGCCAAGATTCTGATTTCTTATAGGACCAGTGGCTCCATCTGAATCCATTCTCCAATATTCGCTGATACTCCTGGCTGAGCCCAAGTCCATGCTCTGTACTGGACTGTGGCTGTCTCTTCTCTGCTCTGGGGAAATTCATTATCAGCATGTATAAAGTCAAGAAGCTGCTATTGTCTCAAAAGGTGAATGAGATTATCTTGTCACATCTTCTAGCAACTATACTCACCTGCAATCCCAGATGTTTTCAATGCTTTTGTTTTCTTTTTGAGACAGGTTTTAACATGGCACTGGATGGCACCAAACTCACAATATAACCCACGGTAACCTTCAACTACTGACCATCCTGCTTCCACATATTGATTGCTATGTGTGAAATGCATCTTGCTGAGTTTGTCAGAGAGCTTGCTACTATCCGTGAAGCTTTGTTTGAAACATCCAGCAACACCTATAATCCCAGCACTCATAGAGGAAGGAAGACCAAAATTTCAAGGTCATCCTCAGCTACATGTTACCCTTGTAACAGGACCCCAGGTCTTAGTAGGTCCCCAGACCTTAGCAGAACTGACTCTATGGTGGAAGTACTGTTTAGCCCATAAAACTCAGAAAGTAGACAATACAACACTTGCCAAAATGAAAGAAAAAAATCAAAACAAAACCTAATATATCAAAGTCTATAATTCTGGCACAGTCTCTAAATGTACTTACCTTGCTTTTTTGGCTTCTATAGGTTGGCTTCTGAGTAACTCTTCTTGTTATCTGAAGTATGTGAATGCAGAACACGTGTGTGTGTGTGTGTGTGTGTGTGTGTGTGTGCGCGCGCGCGCGCGCGCGCGTGCTCAAAATCTCACTCTGAGAAATGCAAAGTGCTATATTTGGATCCCAAACATCCCCCAGCTCAAACATTTTCTTTTGGCTTGAATTTATGTCTAAGTATTCTTCTCTGGTAGATATTCAGTGACACCTAGGCTCAATAAAGAGTTGTTTTTTGTTTTTTTTTCTCAAAAGTTGATGAGTGGATATCCAGCAAATAAATAAGAAGGGTGGAGAGTAGATTAGTAGGAGACAGACTCAGGAGGATCAGGAATACAAGGTCTTATACTTTCTGCTACATGATGAGCCCTATACCAGGCTTGGCTACATGAGAGACTGTATCAAAGAAAGAGCTAAATATGTTGTTGCACACCTTTAATCCTAGTGCTCAAGTGGAAGAGGCAGGCAGAGCTCTTTGAGTTTAAGTGCAGCCCGGTCTACACAGAGAGTTCCAGGACATCGAGGACTACACCGTGAAACCTTTCTCAAGTGATAAAACAAATGAAGAGACAAGAGGGTCTGGAACAGCTCTGTAAAAAGGTGAAACAGAATTCTGATGAAAGAACTGTGTCCCCAACTGATATGTGTTCAAAATAAAGTTAAGCCTATCTCCATGCATTGTTGAGTCTGGAGAGCAGCAGGGGACCACCCTTCCACACTCAGCCACTAGCATAAGGGATTTTCTCCAACCCCAGGACAAAACAGGGACAACCACCTGCTCTTGATATTCCAAGAAGATGGGAAATTCTAGTCCTTGTTGTAGCCCTCCACCCAGCAGCAGGAGCTGGCTCAGAGAGGGAGAGGCAGTGTGTTTGTTTGGATATTCCTACCAAGGACTGAGATAAGAAGAAGGAGAGCCAGGTGTGATGACTCATTCCTGTCAACCACACATTCAGGTGTAACATGAATCTGAAGTTTATTGGGGTGCACAATATATCAACCCCATTCAGGAATGGAGAGCAGGAAGGTCTGGAGATTGGAAAGCTAGGGATAAGTGAGATTGTGGGCTATCCTGCTCTACATAATGAGTTGCAGGACAGCCAAGGCCACTCAGTGAGACTGTATCCCCAAAATAAAAATTTAAAAAGCAGAGAACCTGTCTGAAAGCAAAGCAAGAAATGGGCAGTTGAGACAGTTCAATGGATAAGAGCGATTGCTGCTATCATGATGACATGAGGTATATCACCAGAATCCACAAGATGATTGGAGAAAACTAATTCCCAAAAGGTGTCCTCTGCTCTCCATATATGTGCCATGGTACAGGCACAAGATAAATTAATGCATTTTTTAAATGTTTTATGTGTTTGAGTGTTTTTGCTTGCAAATGTACACATGTGGCCACAGCATCAGATGCCCCAGAACTGGAATTACAGATGGATGCAATCTGCCACTTAGGGCCTATGAATTGAACCCAGGCCCCTTGGTAAAGCAGTCAGTGCTTTTAACTGCTGAGCCATCTCTCGAAGCCCAAACACAATCTTTTAAGGCATTCTGATGCACACACAGCTCTTTACATGTCCTTATTCCCCTGCACCTGATTTAATTCTTTCCTGCTCTAACCAAAACCTCTGGACCTAAGAGGATTGAAACATTTGCTAAATGGAAACAGAGAGGCCAGAGAACCAGCTGCGGGGCCACGCCCAGCCTGGAAACTTCCTCCCTGAGAACTGGCTCTCACAATATTGGAAAGTACTACCCAAGTTGCCAA